CAGGCCAGACTCAGGCAAGAACCAAACTGAAAGGCCAACAGGCCATAATCAGGACTGGAGGAGAATAAGATTAAATGAGTGAATTGCTAGGTATAATTTAATTTCACCTTCTTCACTTTATTATATGGGACATGATACAATCACAGATTTTTTTAAAACATGGTTCCCTAATCTTTTTAGTTGCAAAGGGAGAAATTCCGGGTTTTGCCTGCTGCATTTGTGGGTTCCTCTGTGTCCTGAGTCCTGAGTGGCTCCTTCCTCCTCAGCCGTGTCCCGGGCCGCTGGGGACGAGCGGTCCGTGAGGAAGGAAAGTCCACCAGAACGGAGCCAGGCTGAAGGAACCACTCCACACGCCAGGGCCTGTTCCCGTCTACTCGAGACAACCGAAAGAATGAAATGTAAAGCTCAGAAAGGAGGAGACAAAATTGTCATGGTTTGCAGGTGGTGTGATCATCTACTCCACCCCCAAATTTAAGAAAATCAGCTTATAGGTTGTTATAGTTTATTTATTAAAAGTTTAGAAAGGCAGCTAAATAGAACTTGCTACATACTGCATGCATTAAACTAAAATTAGCACTTGAAAACACACTGAAACAGTGCTATGGATAGTCTATGGCAATAGGTGTACTTTAAATGAAAAAAAATGAATACATACACCAAATTAAATGTTTTTGTTACTTTTCAAAAAAAATTGGGATTAATGGTGACTGTAGGCATATGTAAAGTATTTTTATAGCTTTTGTGTATATTTCTTGGTTGTATGATTTCTTTAATGAATGAAAAGCATCGTGAACATTAGATGTGTCTACTGGTCAGTAAAATGCAACTTTTCTTTAGAAAGTCATGGTGTTATCCTTCAGAATATAAACTCAAGTCTCCTAAAATAGAAGTACTCATGCAGACAGAGCTCCCCAGAATTATTTTCAGGATGATATAATCTCAGCTGAATAGTAAACTACATAGTAAACCAAGAATTTTAAGGATTTAAAGTGATATGATATTATGAGCTATCTTAGTTACTTTTCTCATTGCTGAGACAAAAATACCAAATACCCACAGTTAAAGCAGGAAAGTTATTTCAGCTCACAGTTTGTAGAGGTTTCAGTCCATAGTCAGCTGGCTCCAAGGCAGGGTGGCATGGCAGAGGGGCATCACAAAGGAGAAACAGTCCATGGCAGGCAGAAGGCAGCAAAGCAGCAAGTGACAACAGCAACCCTATTTCTGTCCCTTATAGTCCATCCAGGTTACCTGCCCTTAGGGTGAGTATCACTCACTCCCAGAGTGGGGCACCCTTAATCCCAGCATCTCATCCTTAAATGCAGCATTGCACACTTAGATCCAGTCACGTCTGAGAAACTATACCCTATGACCACATGAGCCTTTGGGGAGCCATCTAGATACAAGCCATGACATGAGCCTTTTTATTATTCTGATACAGGTAAAGTGAAAAAATTAAATAAGATTTAGTAAAAAGGAAAAACAAAGGAAAGAAATAAAGGACAAAAAGAATAAATCCAGAAAAATAGCTCCAAAACTGTACACTTTTAATATCTGCTTACTCTACCTTTCCTCCCCTGACCTCCTTCCTCTTAGCCCTGCAATTCTCCTTTACATACCCTAACCTCAGTCCTCATTTCTGCAGGGTGGTCTTCTTATCCATATCCACTGGCCCATATAAACCGTTCCTCAACTTAAGTGCCTAAACTGAAAATATAGTTATTATGAGATAGTTTAGCACCTAAATAGTCTGTAGATAATTAAGGTCCTCTGAATAGAATATGAGCTTCTTGACAGTAGGTCTAATAGTGACTACTAACATAAACAATATCACTGTTGTTTATATATTTACTATTACATAGCACTTACTATGTATAGAGAACATATGAAGTACATATAAAACATTATTTAATCATCATGGCAGTGCTCTGATGGAAATTCTACCGTATTTTTGTTAAACACATGAGGAAACCAAATTGTAGAAGGAAGATCATTTTGCTAGAGGAATCCAGGGCTGAAATTTGATCGACTTCCTTCCTAACTTGCCACTTGTTCTCCCTCTGGAACAAGTGGGCCAGTGTGTTATGTAACATATGTCTCAAAATAAATATGGACCGTGTCTATTAGAGATGAACAAATTTTACCAGGAGAAGTGGGAAATTCCAACAGTCTGGAATATGAACGAGAATTTTCAGGAACACTGGAGAAACATTCTACTCCTTATTTTGAAGAAATGTCAAAAGTCCATATTATCACAAGGATTTTTGAACACATGTATACTTGCCATCACTTATCTCCAAACTTAGTCATGGGCTCAAAAAAGAACCTTTCCTTCTAAAATTTGGTGAATGGACTATATTTATACCTTTATATGGAATTAAATGCATGAGTTAAAATAATCATGCAGGATATCTGTCCATGAAATACTAAAATCACAAAATTACAGATGAATATGAACCTTCAGTTAGACTGGAACTTCGTTTTTAAAAGATCAGAAGATTTTGACATCTAGAAAGTAAAAAGTTGAGGGGAAAATGGTATAAAGAAGAGTTAGTAAAAAGATCTTAAAACTTCAAAAAGGACCACCCTTGTAGGTAAAAGGAGGCAGTAGAGCAGGAGAGATGACTGCACAAAACACAAAATAGAAACCAAAGCAGGCACAGAGGTGAAATGACCAGGCTGGGATTTAATCCTGCAATGGTGGCTGGAAATGACCAGGGTGCCGCATGACAGCCATACTGACCTTCCCACCACCCACTTTCTCTTACAGTCCTCTTTAGCTTCTTAATGCCTGGCAGCAGGAGGAGCAGGCCAGCCAGCTCCATGACAAAGATAAATTACCTTTGCTCCACTGGATGCCTGGCACTCCACAGAATGTTGGCGGTAAATATCCCACAGCCCCATCTTCTGTTCTCTTTTGAGCCTTCTCCCAACCTGCTAGTCCAGCATTCTCCATCTCTTCTGTGTGGGTCCTGCCCCTTACCTTCTACCATCTTTCTGTCCTCTTTCCCTTCCACTTCCTTCTTCTGTCCTATGGCACAAGGCATGGTGAGGGACAAGCTAGAGAGACCAGCATCGCAGCTCTCGCCACCCAAGTTCCAAATATTAATTCACACTTAGTGTAAATGTTGTGTCTGGTTAGGGTTCTAAAACCTGTAGGTTTATATCAGGAAGTAATTTTGCTTGAATGTTTAAAGACTTTCTTCTAATTTCTCTTTTCTAAAGGAACAGAGTCAGTGCTATTTATTCGGTCTAGTACTGTTTTTCAGATAACATCTATTTGCACCCCATAGTCACCCTACTGCCCAGAACCATAGAGGACAAAACTTTTACTGGCAATCTTTAAAAATTATGATGGAACCTTTTCATCTATCGCACCACAAGGTAAGTATAGTCTACAAAGATATATATTTCAAAATAACTAGAAGAGCCCAAAGGTTCCCAAGATAGAGAAATGATAAAAATTTGAAAACTTAAATGGAAAAATAGGAACAAAATCTTTGTAAATAGGGAGGACTGGAGGGGCTGAAGGGAGGGCTGGGCAAGGGTGAAAAATAAGAACCAAGAGAGACTATGTAAAGGTGCAAATTTCCGATGATGAATGTCATTATGTTGTATACCTAAAATGTACCAATGATTAGAATGAATAATCGATAATGCAAAATAGGAAGAAAAGGTCCAAAGGGGTAGGGGTAGTGGGAGGGGCAGGGGAAAGGAAAGAAGGGAAAGGAAAAATGATGAGAAATGGAAAAAATGGAAAGAAAATCTTTGTAAATAGGGAAGGGTGGAGGGGGTGAAGGGAGGGCTGGGAATGGGGAAACAATAAGAACCAAGATGCATTATGTAAAGGTACAATTACCAGTGAGAAATGTAATTGTGTTGTATACCTACAATGTACCAATAAAAGAATTTAATATAAAAAAAAGAAAACTTAAAGTAGATAGAAATGTTAATTATTCCGATGTGATTGCTACACCCCATACTGTGCCCATAAATCTGTACAAATATTGTGTCCACTAAAAGTCAGATTACAAATGCAAAAGATCTCTATTGTACATTGATACTTACTATCATGGAAAAAATAATCACTTTAAATTAAATGAAAAATTATTTTAAAACTTTACCACATATAAAGTCATATACCAAAGAATACGATTACATTGGAAAATCAGGAAGGTTTGCTTTCAAATGTTACAAAGCTATGGTTTATGGGAATTTGGCTGATCTCTTTCATCTTCCACATCTTTACAAAAATAATTTTTTAAAACACATGTGAAAAATAAATAAATAAATAAAATACACATGAATAGCTTCACTACCTTCCTGATTCCCTGCTCCCAAACACATGCCTTATAATCTGACAGGAAAGAGGAAAACAGAGAGGAAGAATGTAGAAATCTGTGACAATTAAACTGGGGTTGGTGACAGTGTTTGCACAAAAAACAGGGATGTTGTCACAGGGAAGCTTTGAGGAAAAGCAATTACTGTTATTTAAGGAGAGAGCTTTTCAGTCATGACAGCAGCTCTTGCCATACAGTCTGCTTCAGTGAAGCCTCATCAGGTGGTTCTAAATAACTTACACATAATCCAAAAAAGGAAAAGATGGAAAAACGCAGCCTACAACCAGGGAAGAGTTAAAAATGACTGCACAAGGAACAGAACCCGATTAGGGAGAAATGAATTCACTTCAATTTGGATGTTAGCCCTGTGGAAGTGATAATAACCCCATGGAATTCCCAAGAGGAAACGGCTCTAGAAATAAAAGGAAAACATCACAACAAAGTTTAAAGCCAAAGAACACAAAAACAATGGGCAGAGCTTTACAAAACAGAACAATGGACCAAGTTAAAACCTCAACTTTGGGATTGCCAGACCGTAAAATGGAGAAACAAAGCATGCTGAAGTAGGATTGAACACTCAAAAGCAGCTATTAACTCAAGCAAGATCAAAACAGAAATCAGTCTATTCATATGACTTCCAAAAGATCATTAAAAACTAATTACCTTCTGTCTACCTCAATCTCTTTGTTGCTATAACTGGCAAATTGCTGCTCCTCACTTTCTGTCTGGATGGCTGCGGAATAAAATAGTGTGTCCCAACTCAGATCATGACGCAGTCAAGTGGCCCCGTCCAAGAGCCCCGACACTAACTCCACTTCTAAGCATTCGTACAGACTCTCCACTTACCAGTACAGAGCTCATGGATGTGCTCAAGGACAGCTAATTACACAAAGCAATGCCATGAGTTATTTCAGTTTCAAAAATAAAAATAAAAGCTTATGAGAAACACCCTGAAATTTCTCAGTTTTAGATTATAATTTAATTTTGGGGGAAAAAAAGTATGCCCTTCTTTTCTGGGCTATGGTCAGTCAGTTCGCCTGTTTCTTCTGCACTCATAAATTACTTCTATTGTCCAGAGTCTAAATGACAATAAAGGAGAAAATCTGTATTTCTTTTCCAAATCTGCTGCAATTATCAAAAAAGCAAAAGAAAAGAAAATCTGCTACTCAAGGAAATTTATTCTGTCAAGTTGCATTTTTAAGACCAGTATTATCTTTTTTTAAAAAAAAAAAAACTTCTAAAAATCTTTATTATTTTTCATCTTGATAAATAATCTCATTTTTCCTTTCAATCTAAAACTTTCCACTCATTTTCATTCAAAATAAAACTCTTAACTTTTTGCCATTATGTAGATATCTTTTCTAGGAAAAGATTCAAGCTGTTCTTTCTTGTTTCTTAAGAAGCTAAGCTTTCCATGCCCACAATGATATTTGTTAAAAAAAAATACCCATTAAGAAAATTCTTTTTTCAGAATTATATTTGCACTTAGAAAATGGCCAAGGATAGATATGAAATATGACAAATATGTCATTACTAGGGAGCGTAAGATATAGAGACATTAAGCAATTATAAGACATTAAGCAATCCTCTTCCCTGAAAGTTTATGTGTTTTGTTTTGTAAGTAAATACAATCTATACAATATTAGTGCCTAGATCAATATCTTTTTTAAAGGTGATGGCTTATATTCCTTTCATACTGCATAATTTTCAGGATGTATTGCATATTATTTTCTCATATGAGAGCCACAAAATGTAAGGCAGATCTTTTCTCATATGAGAGCCATAAAATGTAAGGCAGATCTTTTCTCATATGAGAGCCATAAAATGTAAGGCAGATCTTTT